GCCTACGCCACAGCCATGTCAGGGGTCCCCTGAGGCCCCCCCCCATCCTTACCACCCAGCACTCTGACTACAGAGCTGACAGGTCCTTCAATGCTAGAACCAAGCCTGCCTCATTCACCTGCGATCTGGGGTACCAGGCACACAGGGAGCACTTGGGATAAGAAGATGTCCCTGCACTTGTTTCTGTTTCCGCTAAGTCAGAGCTCAGAAACAACCCTTGGTCTTTCCAACAATTCAGGGAAGTCATTTTATTCTGTTTTTAAAAAAATTTATAAAACAAAATTGAGAGTGCTCAGCAGCAAGGGAAATCGCTCCTCTTCTATGAACCGCCCCCACCCCCCTCCCTCCCCACCCCCCTCCCCACACACACAACCTGCTCCACCTGCTCTGCCTCTTCAGAAAGACCGTGACACACATCTGTCTCTCATTGTCCAGTGGATGCACAGCCTGCTGTCTCCCACCCCATCCCTTCTCTCCTTTTTGGATCCCTGGGCTCTGCACTTGCCCATCAAGGATCCACAATAGAGAACTAGATCAAAGAATTCCAAACAAGTAACACGGCTTATTCCGCTTCTCTTTCTTTACCTCTCCTACCCACACGCCTTGAAGCTAGAGGTTGCAAACCACCTACCTGTGAGCTAAAGGGTAATGATGGCCTTATTCCTGGAAATCTCATTTGGTGTTCTTAAGGTTGCTGCTGTGTTAAGCTCAATATATTGAACAGCAAAATCCATGTTGCCAGCTATTTTTGAAAAAATTAAGGATTTAATGACTCCAACCCACATCGGGCTCGGACGGGGTTAGCAGCCACCTAGGAAAGGGACCCACAGCTCCTGTGCTGACTTCTTACCTTTGCTTCCCACTCTGAGGCCCCCAATGGTGGCCTAGTTTCAGAGGGTGATTTGCAAAGTAGTTCTGCTCTTTGTTTCTTGCCTGGCCCTGTGGGTGAGTGTATTTGCACTGGCTACCGCCATACTTAAGCACTTGGAAAAAACTAAAATAAAACAGGTTCCAAATGCTCTGAGTGTTTGTTATGTTTGTTAGTGCCTCCAGCAAGAATGTAAGCTCCCTATCCTGTTTTTGGCCTTATTAGAGTTGGAACATGGGGCCTGTAGCCTGCTAAGCATTCACTTTACCTGTCTCTTGGCTTGGATTTTTTTTGCACTGGATGTTTTTGGAATAGGTTTTGCTTCCCGCCTAGGTGTGCATTTGGCTTCTCAGCTAAACTGAGACACATACCACTATACCCAGGTGGAGTCTCCTGGACTTTTCTGCCCAGGCTGGCCTCTAACTACAATCCTCTCACTCTCAGTCTCCCAGTTAGTCGGGATTACTGTTGTAAACCCACAGTACCCATCTTCTGCCACCATGCCTGTGTTATGTGGAATGCCATCTTGATGGTGGTGATGATGATGTATTGATGTGTACAGGCACATCAGATGCCTATCCCTCAGATGCCTTCGAAATAATGGAAGCTGAGGATTCAGAGATGAGGAATCAAACAGAGCAGGAGTAAAGGCTCACCTAGGTGTACTTCTATTCCCCTGCCTTCCTAAACAGGGAGACTAGGGTGGTGAGCAACAGACAAGAAATTCTTGCCATCCATGCCTGAGGCTTACATTCCTGGATTCTTTGCATTTGCATTTCTGGCCCTCCCCAAAGCTACAATGTGAGACTCGAGAACCATTCTCAGGCTAACCTGGAATGAGGGGACACATATGACACACATACCTGTGTGACTCAGCCTCCCGTCATGCACAAAGACAACACTAAGAGCTGGCAAAATGTATCAATACATAAATCCATCATGCGTTCCAGACTCCCACAAAGTCAGAATCAACAACAACAATGCAAAGGCAACAGAAGGATCATTCCCTAACCTTCCAACTCAAAGATGGAAATGAAATATCTCTGAAGCCTATCACTTCCTATAAAAACATGCTCTTCTGTCAGGCCCTGGTAGCCATTCAGCCTGGCACCGGGGGCTCACTCCTATCATCCTAGCTACTCAGGAGACTCAGATCTGAGGATTGAGGTTCAAAGCCAGCCCTGAGAAAAAGTGTGAGAAACTTTTACCTCCGTTTAAACACTAAAGAGCCAGGAGTAGAGGTATGACTCAAGTGGTAGAGGGCTAGCCTGGAGTGAAAATGTTAGGGAACAGTGCTCTGGCCATGCATTCAAGCTTTAGTACTAACACGGACACACAATTTAAAAGAAAAAAAAAACAAGAATTAGTTGGGAGGTTCTAGGAACATGATCATCATTAAGACAGACACAGAAACTGCTTTCGTGAAGCTTGATCTTAGCACACAAGCAGCATTCAAGTGGTACAAAGGAGAAGCTGAGGTATGGGAAAGACTCAAAAAGACACTGAACCTAGGGAGAGGAGGTCCCCTGACAAAGAAAACACATAACAATCTCAAGAGTAAAGAACTGCTCAGAACAAGAGCCTATCCTTCTTTCTCTGTGTGTGTGTGTGTGTGTGTGTGTGTGTGTGTGTGCGTGCGTGCGTACGTGTCATACATGGCAGAGCATGAAGTGACCTTCCTTCCTCAAAGAGCTCACATCTAGCATGAAGGAGGGGTGAGCTTCTCTGTAGAGAGAAGCCCCCTCTTCATTGCTATGACAAAGACCAGATAGTCAATGGAAACTCATCCTACTGCTCAAAGGAGTTCAATCAAAAGTCTTCATAATTATAAAATGTTCCAGTGCGAGTGCTGGAAACTAGTCTAACCATTTCATAAAACACATGAAATCCGGGGTGGGTTTAGGCACCCCTGTAATCCCAGCACTCGGGAGGCAGAGATGGGTGGATCTGTGGATCCATGACTTTGACACCAGCCTGAGCTACTTAGTGAAACGTTATCTCAAAATACAGGAACTGGTGGTATAGTTCAGTGGTAGAATGCTTATCTAGCATGTGCCAAGATTTGGGGGTGAACTCTAATAGTGCTTAATTGATTAATCCATGGAGAAAGTGGCTTCTCCAGAGATCAAGGAGTGCAGAAGCTGTGTCAGGGTAGAGAAACTGCTTAGGAGCCTCATGGCAGAGACAGAGCAGCCCAATCACCCACACATAAATAAAGAAGCTAAATGATAAAAATGATCAGAGAAGCCCAAAATGGGATATTTAACTTTGGAGGCCTGGGAAAACTGCTTAGTGACTAACACCATTATATTATAGTGGCTGTAATGTTAACGATAACATTGTTAATGATAAATGAACACTCTTCCAAACATTTATGTGGTAATAAACCTCTAAGCGCATCAACGCACTTAATTCTATGGGTAGGTACAATTCTTGTCCTTATTTTACAGATGAGAAAACCAGGGATTAGAACAAGAGATTTCAGGTGATGGAAATCTGTCAGACTAAAGGGTCAGAACTATAAGGTCTACAAACATTAACCCACTTAACAAACCAACCCATCCTCTTTTACAAGCAGTTTGTAAATAGCTCAATGGTTAGAAACAAAAGGTGACTTAATGTTAAACCCATGAATATCTACGGACGGCAAGTGTCCCCTGAGCTTCCAGGCTATGCAAGAGGGGCCCTGGCTTTAAGTTGCCACAGGAGGACCCAAAGAGATGGATTCTGAGCCTTTGAGAAGTGGACACAACTTTGTCTAAGAACCCTCCACATAAGACCTTCAGGAAAAATACACAATGGACAGAAATTGCCCCTTCTCCCAGGGAAAGGAAGACCAAGAAATCTATCTCTCCTAGGCTCTAGGTTAGGGGGGGAAATGGTTCTTCAGAAACTTGAATTCATAGACTTCATGTCACAAGAGTCTAGGGTTCTCATACATGTTAACTGAATTGTCCAAGATGTCCCAAGGGGAGAATTTCACATAAGTAATTATGCTAAGCAAGTGATATCTCCTAGGGACCCGGCAGAAATAAGGGACACACCCTTAACCTGGATCATTCCTAAATCCCAAATAAAGGCAGTCTTGTAAGGAGGAGGCTACAATGCTTGATAAGAAATGTACTCATTATCTTGCCCATGTAATTGTAACCCCTCTGTACAGTATTTTCACAATAAAAAAAAAGACATTGAACGGAGGATTACAGTCCAGGCCAACCCTGATCAAAAGTTCAAGACTCCATCAAAAAATAAATAAATAAAACAATAAAGGGCTGAGGGCATGATTCAAACAGTAGAATACTGACTTAGCAAATATGAGGTCCTCAATTCAAACCTCAGTACCTACAGACAAGATAGACAGATATCAATAATGTTAGTGGGGGGCAGGGGGAGAAGGAAAATCTAAGACATGTGTACTAAGAGTTTCAGAAGAAATGAAAAAAAGGAATAAAGGAGGAACTATGGAAGGACAAGAGTCATCAGCCTGAGGACATCAAGTGAGCTGTGAGCATAATAAGAAATACTATTTCATAACAAAACATTGTGTGTTAAACTCTAGAATACCAAAGACAAAGAGAAGATCTAGCAACCAAACTAAAAGTGAGCAATAGTGGACTTTGAGCAGACTTCCTGTGATAAAAATGGGCATCGTTGAAAATGATGAGGATGATAGTGAAGGAGGAGGAGGAGCAAAAGAAGGAAGAGGAGGAAGATGGCGACAATGACAATGATGATGACGATGCTGGGTGTGATAGTGGTAATGACAGGGAAAAGCCCTAATTATACCAGAAAAACTGTACGAAGCCTTCAGTGACATCTTTCCTTCTCCTTCCCCTCCCTTTCATCGTAAGTGATTGTCCTCACAGATCGTTTGTGCTACATGTGACAGCTTATTTTCAAAATCAAAATCACAGCATTTCACGTTATCTGAAGGTTACCCAACTGCAGACAGTCTAGTCTTAAACTTCATTTTGGAGAATTCGTTAAGCACCAGGGATGTCAGCAGGCGGTTGGTTTCCCATGTGTGAGTCACTGTTGCCATCTACAGGCAGGTGTGGGACATGCAATGCTGCCAGAGCATTGACTAAACCAGCAAGTCCAGTGCTGAGGAGAAACAATGAAAAAACGCTACCTGGAGAAGCAGCTCTTTCTCCACCACCTCCTCCGTCTTGCTAATGAGGCGCTTCTGCAGGGTGTGAATTTTCTGTATCAGCTCGAAGGTACTGGGGTCACTGGCCTGTTCAAAGGGAACAACAACCAACACAGAGAGCATCAGTTTCCAAGCTCCAAAAGCTGTACATGCAGTATTATTACTAATACCTAATGCAAGACAAGCACTGTGGCTCAGGCCTTGAATCCAAGCTTCTTGGACGGTGAAGATCTGAAGGATTGTGGTTAAAGGTCAGCCCAGACAAAAAGTTAATGAGACCCTTCTCTGAATTAATAAGCCAGGCATAGGCATAGGCACAGACTTCTGTCTGAGGCAAGGCCCCGGTAAAAATTCAAGACCTTATCTGAAAAATAAAGAACCAAAAGCAGAGGTGAGACCAAGCCAGTAGAGCAAGAGTGAGACCCTGAGCTCAAATCTCAGAACTGAAAGGGCCGGGGCGGGGGGGGGGGGTGAGTAACTATCATAAACCTACAGATCTAATGGATATAGAAATAAAATGAAAAAAAAAAAACAGGGATGGTTATAAATACCTGGCCCCTCCCCAAACCAGGAGACTATAGTTTTCCTAATGTCTCATCTATATACCTAGGATATATTTATTCCTCCAAGAGGAGTATTAACAACAATAGCTACTTTGTATGATACCTGCTTTTTGCCACCATCTAGCATCTGACAACCTGAAAGACAACATTCATCTTCTGTTTTTACAAAGAAGACAACTCAGGCTCAGAGAAGTGAAATCATTTGCCCAGGCTGGTAAAGATCAGAACTGGATTTGAGCCTAGCTATGTCCAAGTCCAAAAGCTATGGCTCTTCATTAAGATGCTTTCAGGCTTTCCCTACTACCTCTGGTTTCCATAGGAATGAGACAGGGTTCCTTGATTCACTTAGCCTCAGGATTCCCCTCTGGGCATTGTTAACCAGAAGATGTATTACAGCCCACGGTGGAGAAGGTTTCCTGGATGGGGACTTCTGCTGATAATTGGCAGTAGAACACAGCCATGGCTTTTTGCTCTCAAATGGAGTCATCAACCAATAACACTTTGATGCTCCTTTTGAATCTATCTATGTACAATTCAAACAAGAGCTAAGGATGTAAACTGACCGTGTGTCCTCCTGCTTCACTTTCAACTGCACTGATGTTTCGAATTAATCTGGCAGCTAAATATTTTCAACTCCCAGACTTGTTTTCTAAATTTTTCTAATAGAAATTGACTTGGACTTGGAATCTTTAAAGATGTGTTTGAAAACACTTGGACTAATCTTATGTGATGTTAAAAGGATTTTTAAAAAATCTTTCAGGACCACTTTCCCGGGCAGATCCTGTACTATGATTGGGTTAGCAAACACCACCTTTCTTGGGGCACTTGAAATCAGTGACATAGACTCTGACTCTGCTCAAGAAACATTAAACTGTACCAACGAATGCCCATCTACTGGGGCTAGACTTGGCACTTGTTCAGTTGACAGTTCTGGGTGTTGTAAAAATGCAGGCCTCGTGTTTACATAACAATTTATAATGCATTAGCTTTAATGCTTTCTTCATTCAAATAGGGAAAAAATGAAACAAAAGTCTCCTTGACTGATTTTTCACCTCACACTGAGAGTTCTCACAGCATAGATACAGCTCTCAACACTGCAGTTGTTCATTTGGTGGAAGCCCCTCTTGGTGCCCCCAGTGCTAGATATAACTAAAGGAGAGGGTTGTCTATGACCTGAGTTGGCAGTGTTTGGCTTTCATTGTTCTTTGCAGTGCTAGTGGTAATGCCCATGAAGAAGTCCTAAAATAGAATATGAAATGCATTATCCATCCTCTACCAAGGGGACTTGAGCTATGTCTCTATGTCCTTTCAAAGTAAGGGATTGAGTCACTCAAGCTAGTCCTTCCAGAGCTAATTTTCAGAACCAGATTTCCTGCAAGAGAGAAAAAAAATGTGAAAAACAGCTCAGAGACTGATGGCCAATAAAGCTAAAGACACTTAACAACCCAAGAATAACAGCTACTTGGCAGGGTAACTGGCAAACCAAAAACTGTCTAAACAAGAAAAAAATAAATGTCTATTGGCAAGCTGGTTCGTAGCTTGCACTAGGTCTTTGAGGGACAGAAAAATCTTTATCTAAGGTGTGTGTGTGTGTGTGTGTGTGTGTGTGTGTGTGTGTGTGTGTGTGTATGCTGGTCCTGGAGCTTGAACTCGGGGCCTATATGCTGTCTCTTAGCTTTTTCACTCAAGGCTGGCATTTTACCACTTGAGCTACAGGTCTACTTCCAGCATTTTGCTAGTTAGTTGGGCCTAAGGATCTGCCAGACTTTCCTGCCCGTGCTAGCTTTGAACTATGATCCTCAGATCTCACCCTCCTGAGAGGCTAGGATTTTAGGCTTGAGCCACTGGTGTCAGGCTTTGTCCAAGACTTTTAAATTAAAGAAACATCTGGTTCTGGAACCACCCAAATTCCATTTGATCTAGTCTTGTATTCCAGGTAACTATTTGTACAGCATTAAACTAAAGAGCTTGTCACTGTGCTGGTGGTTAGAAGCCTAGAGCAGGTAGAGATTTGGGGCCGGGAAGGATGCCTGCCGGATGTTACCTCAAGCCTCCTCCATCTGTGCACGTTCATGGGGTTCTCCAGCTCCTCCTCCAGGGCCCGGCACCTGGTCCTCTCCTTCAGGAATTCTCTTTGCACGTGAAAAAGCTCCTGCCTAAAGACAAATGTGAGTTGTTTTGTTTTTTGCAAAGAAATTCTCCCACTTGAATATCATACCTTTAAGAGGGCACACAAGCTGATATAACAAGTTGGAGTTAGAGATGGGGGAGAATGAAGGAAGGAGTGACATGGATCAAGATGCACTCGACTCCCAAACTGACATGTTGACCTGAGACACCCCCACCTTTGAACAACTAGTCTCTTTTTTTTTTTTGTCAGTCATGGGCCTGAACTCTGGGCCTGGGTGCTGTCCCTCAGCTCTTCAGCTCAGGGTTAGTGCTCTACCACTTGAGCCACAGCAGCACTTCTGGCTTTTTCTGCTTATGTGGTGCTGAGGAATCGAACCCAGGGCCTCATGCATGCAAGGCAAGCACTCTACCACTGAGCCACCTTCCCAGCCCCTGTACAACTACTTAAGGATAATAAAAATATTATTTTATAAATTGGAAGGCGGGAGATTGCTGTGAACCCTGAGACCAGCCTCCTAAAATTTGGGCAGAACACAAATGATACCCATTCCAGGAGAGTCTGAGGCTCGCCTTCACTATTACTTTATTTGCATTCTGAAACCAGAACAGTGAAACCTGCTGAAATGAACTTTAAGAAGGGGACAGGGAGATGGGAGGGGAATAGAGGGAATGGGTTGATGGTGTAGATTGTCTGCATGAATGGAAATGTCACATTAAAATCCCATTTGTACAGCTAATGTATACCCATAACAGAATCTTAATTTTAAAAAAGAACTGCTTTCTCTTTAAGAAGAAAATAAAAATCATGCCAACCTTCAGAATCTTGATTCAGAACATTGAAAGAATTTAGAAGTATATGGAAATGTGAGTTATGACCATCTCAGTACACTTGTCAGTGTTTCTAAATGTTTTTACAGTTGCAGTGAGTGAGCAGTCTGCATCCCACACGTGGGGACTGACTGCCAGCTACAGAGGCACACGTGACGATATGGTACCATCAGGGCAGAGCAACCCAACCTCAGCATGCTGCAGTCACACCGGCCTGAATCCAATCCTCAGGGTGGATCTGGTACCTGACTGGGACATCATAGGCCTTCGAGTCCTACTGGGAATTGTAGCATGGGACCAGGACTGAGACACACTGAGCTACAGTTTTTTTTTTTTACCTTAGATCTCACAACTAATGGACACAGATCGCTGAAAAACTCCTAAAGCCCAAGCTCCAGCTCAAACATGCTAAATCTTCAGACAGAAGATTTTGTTGACAGGCCATGTGCCATGGCCATTCTGAGCCCTATCAAGAAGTTGTTTCGAGAGGGACAACGGGCAGGACGGATACTGACTTGAGCAATACATCACTACAAGACCTGGTCTGCTGTGGGTGCACAGGTTACTATCCTAAACTGTCTCTTTCCCTTAATTGCTCATTTAAGCCAATAATACAACTTCCCCTCATTAGCAAGACAAACCATGAGAATTAACTGCAAGGTGTTCCCTCAACAGGGAGCTCAGAACAAGCTGCTTAGAATTAAAAGCACAATTTTAACCCTTTACTTTTCTTGAGTGCCATTGGAATACCTTGGCAAAAATATTAACTGCCTGACAAAATGGCCAGCATTTACATCACTTTTTTAATGGCTTACCATTTTACACTCTGTGATAGGCACATTGCATTTGTGTTTTGTATTTTAAGTATAACAATTCCAAAGCTCAGAGATCTACTTTGCCCAAGGGCACAGTTTGTAGGTAGCAAGGTTAAGACTAGAATTCATGCCCGCTTGTCTCCAAGCTTTATCAGTTTGTCTCCCCATTATCATCCAGACTTCCCTGGCTCACACTTTTACTCCTAGCTACTCAGGAGGCTGAGATCTGAATCTATGAGGATCTATGTTCAAGGCCAACCCCAGATAGGAAAGTCCAAGAGGCTCTTATCTCCAGTTAACTATCCAAAAAGCAAAAAGTAGAGCTATGGTTAAAGGGGTAGAAGATAGCTTTGAGCAAAAAGCACCAATGGTGGTACCCAGGCCCCAAGTTCAGGCTCCAGTACCAACACACACACACACACACACACACACACACACACACACACGCACACACACAAGAAACCATCATTATCAACAAACTAGCAATATTGACTAGGAATGGGCCAAATCTGGTGTTTTATGTATGTCATAAAAATAACTCATGAGCTGACAAGTTTAATGCTAGTCTGGAGATCTTTCAGCAGCTAGTTAGAAGGAACCAATTTGTCTCTAAATTGCCAATGGTAGTATCTCTGGGTAGTAAAGTTATGAGTGATTTTCTGATTCCTTCTTCATGTTTTTTCCCCTGCATTTCTCACATTTTCTACAATGAGTTTATACAACTTTCATCCTCTGAAGTACAAGCCACTAAAATAAAATTTAAAAAAATCAAGTAAGCCAGGCCCAAAGAAACATAGGTCCCATGGTTTCCTTTATTTACAATAACTAGGATAAGTCTAAGACAAGCAGACATGGTCAAAAGCTATGTACATATGACCATATAAGATGATGTTAAATGAAATGAGCCCCAAGACAGGGACACAAGTGTTTTTTTTTCCTTTCTTGCTATTGTTTTTAGCATATTTAAAATGTGCTATGTGATTTTTTTTTGTTTTCTTGTATGTTCTTCCCCCACAGTATAACCCCTGTTTTCACTGTATTTGATGTCAGTGCCCTGCATCTTGTATATACACTTTTCTAATTTGGGGAGGGGAAGGGAAATAACAAAATACTGAAATAAGGATATAGGTTGACCCATTGTAACAATGATGTACAAGACACTATGTTGAAAATTAACTTTGCAACTTGGGTGGGGGAGGAGTTGGGGAGGTGGAGAGGGAAGGGATGGTAGGGGAAAAACAAAGGAGGAGGTAACAATACTCATAGGAAATGTACTCATTACCAACTGCAACCCCTCTGTACAGTATTTTTACAACAAAAAATATATATAAAAAATTAAGCATCAATCCATCCTTAACACGGATAAACTCCTGATTCTTGACCCTCCTGCACTGAAATATTAGAATAATCTTCTAATCCAATTAATTTAAAAAACAGATCAAGACTATGTCCTTCTCCCGACAGTGGTCAAGGGGACTGTTCTTCCACAAGCCCATGGGGAGTGAGGAGAGCTACTGAGAAAATACTGGGCCTCCACAATTGCCTATATAAAACTCCGTGATGTTTTCCCACAGGGAAAGTAGTTCTTGTATAATGTAAGATTTAAAGAAAGAAGAAAGCTGCACTTAAGTGAAAGCTGCAGAAGATAAATCAAGAGTGAGATAGACGATTTGGCTGACTTCTAAGGAAACAGATTTTCAGATAGTGATAGAATTAAATTCTCCACTTCTTTTCGTCCTATATATAATTCCAAGAAGAAGAAAAAAAAAAAAAAGAAGATGGGCAAATGTTACCTGGATAGAATTTAAATGTTGATGGTCCATCTCCCTCACAGGCTGCCTTATTAAAGAAATTCCAAAGAACTCAGTAGTGGGGAGAAGAAAATTTTCTACATTTGTAACTAGCTGTGTTTGTGATCTGACTTGAAATTTTCCTTCAAAGATCCAGAATCATATTTTATTAGTTTTTCCACATTCCCTCACACCCCAACTCAAGGAAACAAATTTGTTATTGTCACACAGTATGGGCACAATATAGCTTGTTTTTTGGTTCTTGTTTTGTTTGGTTTTTTGTTTTTTGACACCCCTAGGACTTGAACTCGGGGCTTGGGTGCTGCCTCTGAGCCTTTGTGTTCAAAGCTAGCTCTCTACTACTTGAGCCACAGCGCCACTTCTGGCTTTTTCTCAGTAGTTTATTGGAGATAAGAGTTTCGCAGATTTTTCTGCTTAGGCTGGCTTCCAACTGTGATCCTCAGATCTCAGCTTCCTGAGTAGCTAGGATTACAGGTATGAGCCACCAGCGCCCAGTACAACAGAGATTTTTATAGAAAAGTGGTTCTCACTATTTGCTGATAATTGTATCATATAAAATTCACTTTTCAGTTTGATAAAGGCCCTCAATGACCCCTCACAAGGTCACATCAGGTAACTGACAACCTCCGGTCCCTTAGCCCTGCGAGCCTCCAGGTTACCTGAGTTCTTCTACATTGGCCACACTCCTGGCCAGAATCCTCTTCTCCCGGCGAAGTTTCTTGATCTCCAGCTTGAGGATCCTCATGTCCTCCACTCTCTGGTTGTACTGGCTCTCGCCTTTATTCAGCACAGACTGCTGGATCTTGATCTTCTCATACAGCAAAGCTAACTCGTCATTGCGCCGTACGAGTTGAGATCCTAGAATGTCTCGTTCACTGACCACCTAGAAAGGTTGGGGAGGGAACATAGACACCAATGGAAAGTCATGTTTTTTTTTTTCATTGTGGCAGTTGCAACATTCAGGCTGTGTGCATCTAATGAATGTGAGCTATGTACTCACTACAAACAGCCTGCTAACACAACCAATGCTGGCCTCCTCCTACTAGAGCTTGCAAGGTGCTTAGAAAAAGAAATCAGTGCACAATGAATGATCCATTCTAATAGTAGTAGTCAAATTATCCAGTAATCTTTGAGCCTTAGGTGTGTCATTTTGCTTCCTGTGTGAATGGGGGAGGGGGAAGAGGGTGTGTTGTGTACCTGTACTGGGGCTTGAACTCAGTGGGTTCTGTCCCTTAGCTTTTTCGCTCAAGACTAGTATTCTAACACTTGAGCCACAAACTCTACTTCTGGCTTTTTTGTGGTTAATTGAAGTTAAGAGTCTCACGGACTTTGCTGCCCAGCCTGGCTTTGTACTGTGATCCTCAGGTCTCAGCCTCCTGAGTAGATAGGATTAAAGGCATGAACCTGTATGCATAACTATTGTATATAAATGTTTAGTGTGCCCAACCAAACTATGTTTTTAATGCTTAAATTTAAACAATCTTCTAGTAGGCCAGGTCTCACCAAGTTCTGGCCAAATTCTCCCAGCCAGATCCCTGAAGGTATTTTATTTTGAATCCTCAAAGTATTCACTTGAGTTTCTGTCTCCCAAACCATGTACGTATGAACTCTAATTATTGCATTAGAACATACGCTCCCTGCGAACAGGGACTTCACTCTTCTTGGCTGAAGTGCCTTCCTGTGGGAAGAGTGGTTGATGCCTGGGAGGTGCTCCTGAATTTGGATGAAATAAATGAGGGTCTTTCATAGTTAATCAACACAAGACAGGCCTCTGCAGCTGATCTCATAGAAGGACTAGGTGGCAGAGCTTAGACAGGACAGAAGATGAATGAAAAGTAGAACGGAGCACTGGCAGCTACTAAGGAGAGAATGGTGGAAAGGTTCTACCTGGTCTAATTCCTTCTTCTGCCTTAGCCTCTCCCCGTCGGCCTCAGCAATGATTCGCAGGAGTTTTCTCTCTTCGGCCTCTTGCTTTTCAATGAAGTGTTTGGTCTCCATGGCTTGTTGTCTCAGCTTCTGCAGCTCAGCCTGGCGAAGAGGGAAAAGATTCACCCACATTTCCTTCTGCAGCAGCACATGGCTGTGCAGTGGTGCCTTGTATGCATTCCCTGGTATTTTAGTTAATATGGTTTGAGCACACTGTACTAATAAACCACATAAGCTTTCAACATACACACACACACACACACACACACACACACACACACACAGAGTGAAGAAACAGCAGTGCTTCTGATGATGATCATGTTTATTCTCTGGACTGTGCCCTGGAGGGATTTCTATCCCCGGTCCATGTGTGCAGTGGGAGTTTCATTGATATTCCTAGATATTCTCTCACTAAGAACGGTGCAGAGGAGAAGTGGAGTGAACAGGAGTCCCTGCCACATCTCCCCTCTCGGGTCCTCACACCACCAGTAGGCTTAATACAAAGGGCAAGTCCATGAAAAGCAAAAAGTAAATTAAAGACAACAATGAAATGTCCATGTTGTATGGAAGGTTGGGACAGAAAGTACATGGACCCTTGTCCTCCAAAACTTCCACTCCAGACAACAGAAAGATATGCTAATGTTATGGAAACAGGAAACAATTTTTCATTCTCTTTTTTTGTCATGCAGAGAATAGCATTACAGGTCAAGGGAAGAGTCATCAGCCCACAGGGACCATCAGATAGGCTTTTTCAGAGAGCTCACACTTGAGTCTGCTCATGAGGTAGGAAGGAAAAAAAAATGTTTCTCATCAAAGCATACATCCATTTCTATTCCATAAATACATGTTTGTGACTTAAAAATCACCCCGGACATAATACTACACATTGAAAACCTCTTATCTCTACTTTATAAATGCAATTACAGAGCCAATTCAAAGCCAAATAACTTGCCCAAGGTTATTAAACTCATAAGGAGCAGAGTTGAGATTCCAATAAGGATCTATGGATGCCTATCCCTCCACGGAATAGTCCCAAACCAAATACAGAAGAGGAGTCCGATGGGGTTCCCCATCTTCTGCAGGTAACAGGAATCACCAACGAGAGGATGAACATCCCATCTACCTGTGTGGAAAAGGACATGAGAGCACACAGGAAAGAGTTCCTATTTTTGCCTGGAGTTGAGAAGAACAAATGGATTCCTTGGCAGATGATGGACATTGCCCAAATGGAGGAGTGTGTGCTGGAGGAGAGCTTTCAACCTCCAGACTCTGTGGGCCCAGGCAGGGAAACCATGAAGCAGCTAGTTTGCCTGCCAGCACAGCGCCCCCCAGGGGTTGGATTTGAGTACTAGGTGGGACAGTGCATAAGGTAAGACTGGCAAACAGCTATGAAGGACTGGGAAGGCCCTTTTGTGCCATGCACTGTAGAGTCTGCACCAGGGAGCCAGTTGCCCACCTTGAAGGCAAGAACACATCTGTGAGAGATTTCATGCCCAGGTGGACAGGGCATGGGAGGAATCAATGACCAGGTCACAAACAAATGAAGAAAAGGAGTTCATTTACCCATGCTGATAATCACAAGGGAGGTGACAGAATGACATTAAGACTTCATTCAATATGTCAGAGCCTTACAGGTCTACAAAGGACAGTAAAAGAAAAAAACATATTTTTTCCTTCAAGTAAATATTAAGACTATCACGACCAGTCACCCAGAAAAGTCACCAACATGAAAAAAAAAATCCACACTTGGAATTAATTGCCTATGAACCAACTCAATTCAGGTCAAAGGTCTTCTCCATTCATAAATTCTGTGCCTCAAACTTCCCAAGACAGTAGGAGATATTGTATACCTTGTAATAGATGTGTGGTATCACAAATTAAATGCAACCAGCTACTATCAAAACAAGGGTTTCGTTTATGACAGTTTGTTCATAAAATATGGTTTAGGGATAAGCAAAAGGAAACATTTGCTGAGAAACGATCTGGTCTAGTATTTACCACTTAGGGGGATTGCTTGTTAGGACAGAGAGTGAAGTACCAGCCTTCCTGTTTCTCCAATCATTTAAGGTGACAGCAAAGACAGCAATAAAATACCTGTTTGCCTGATGTCTCCTTTAATAAAACTTTTATTCTCCTATATCTGCAACACTCACTTTTCTGTTCCTAAGTGCCAAGAGCTGATCAGAATCCATCAGCAGAACAAAACGAAACCCCTGTTATATTAAAATGCAATCAACAGTGTGTAAAAGTATCTGTCTGAAATGCAAAACCATTCGTGCATTTGGCATTGCTGGGTGGATTTTTTTTCATAATATATCAAAATTCTGAGTGGTCTCCTTATGTCATAAATTTATGGGCTGTAAACAAGATGTGGCATTAGACATTGGCAGCAAATGTTAACATCAACAAAATACGTTGGGTCTAATACATTTAGTGGTTATAAATCTGAGCTGTCTTGCCCAGGAAGGATGGCAGCAACTGCTGGGCACCCTAAAGCCCATCAAGCAGTGACTTCAGTGCCATTTGAGATGTTTGCACCTGTTGAAGTGTTTCAGGTGGCCTGCGGTTGTGTGGTAATTGGCATGTCACAGCCTTTAGTCACTGCGGCTTACAATTTTGCAATTGATGCTTATAAACTATAGATCATCAAATTTGTGAATGGGCATCCATTGTATCTCAAGAGCCGAACTTGGACAAGTCTCACAGGTCCATATCTGAGCCCCCATAAGTGTTCGACCATGACAGTAATTAGGATTTTTTTCTCCCTCTGTCATGAGTAGCAGAAACAACTTTGTCATGTGACAGAAGCCAGTCTGTAATATGGTGTTATTTGCTGCTGAATTATGTACTAAGACTCAGCGTGCTGTCAGACGGGTGTGGGATGATTTGAAATGCTGAGACAGACTCTGGGGGCTTGTTAGGTCTGGAAACAAGGTGACTGCCTTCCTTCCTTCCTGATGAAAGGAGACTGAGACAGAATGGGCAGGAGGACACAGATGCAGTCACATCTACCCAGGACTCCTGACATTCTCTCATAGCCATAATGTGCTGGCAATATCTAGGATCCTGAAAAGACAGTAGAGTCTGGTAGTGACTGCAAAAGGAAAAGGATCATAGGACAAAGGTTTTTCGGTTGATGGGGATGAATGTAGATGAGGACAACCTACGCTGACAATTGTATGTCTACAAACTTGGTAAGTAGTAAATTGGACTGTCCTGTCAAAAGGCATCTCACAGTCTGTCAAGCGGGCAAGGGCTTACCCCTGCAGCAGGGATTATGTACCCACTGAGCTTTACAGAATTGTAGGATAAATGTCTTTTGGAGCAATGTGACTAGGAAATCTGCCCTTTCCTCTCAGGGTTTTGGTTTGCAAGCTTTGAATGCATGAAATCCAGAGACCTGTGTAGAATGTGACTCAAATTCTTACCCTAAAAAAAGTCAAGAGGCTGAAGCTCAACATCTGAGCTGTCATATTTTTCTTCCTAAAGAAGTTCAAACAGGCTTAATGATAGGCCACGATTATCCCATCGGAGCACCATTGCAAGTCACCCTTGGATAACCTCAAATAATAGATCAAGCAGGCATCCTCTCTCTGTTCCTCATTCCTGCCCCGTTATGGGAAATGCTGAGGGAAAGAGCACCCTAGCTCCACAGTGAGTCCAAAGCAATCATCTTCCTATACTCGATGGCCCAAAGCCATTCAGACCCAGAATTCCCTATTCAGAGCACGTTGTCCAGAACAGAGCCTTTATAATCACCTTCACGTCAGCCAGTAACCAACTATGCTGACCCACAGCCCATCACAGCCCCCTACAGCCCTTCATCTTATCTTATTATGCTGCTTCTTTGGGGCTGTATGTGTAGATACCCGATGATAAAGGTCATCACTGAAACTAATATTAACTAACATCAAACAGTAAGGAAATAAGGGAATAAGTGTCCTAGGTAGGAAGCTGTTTATTCTAAATCAGGACTGTGCAGAAGGTAATTTGTTCTACCTTGGATTTGGACTTTACTGGAATAAGAGTTGTTTTTATTTTTTTTACTAGAGAATCACTTGGGAAGTAGAGGTGAAAATCATTGTTATCCTCTGGGAGAGAGAGGGGTGGAAGGAGGGAAAGAAAGAGGGAGGGAGAGACAGAGAGAAGGAGGAAGAGACGGAGGGAGGAGGGGAGAGAATGATAACACAAATGGATTATACTGAGGTCTTGCTAACATGGTCCATGAGGCTCCTGGTGGAGCAGTGTAGTAATGAGATTCTTCTGATTCATCCAGCAATAAATAAACCCCATCTTCACTATGGACTGCAGCCAGGGTGAAACAAACTGCTTCCAAAAAACTTTGCTTTTGAACAAAGGAAATAAGGGCAATGACAGAGGAAAATTTCCAATTTCAGAAAACATTATATCTATATATTCTTTTTCTATCACAGGCTGTAGTGATAAGAGAAGTCAGTCACTGGCAAATAAATCAATTACTGTATCTTTTTTTTATCCAGATGTTTTTGTTAGTTTAATCTTTTTCAACTCCTGTGTGCCTTAATTGAATACAGTAGTTCTAATTCCATGAAAACCTATCATTAAATTGCAGATCTCTTATTAAATTGAGAGTTTATATTTCAATCTATTGTAGAATCAGGGAAAAGAAGGCATCAATTCTGTCCAGTGCTAGGTGCACATTTTCAAAACAGGGATCATCTTTGAAAGCCATTAGGTATAGAAAACAATGGCACGCAGTCTCTGGTTTCTTGTAAATAAGTCCTGCAAATGGATCTTAACCACCTACAAATATTGTTTATATACATAAATACGTATGTAGAAGTTCTTTTTTTTCATTTTCTGGCAAATAAAATGCAAGAGAAATCTATTGGATGGATGAGAAAAAGAAACGATGGCCAGATTACTAATACATACAGTAAAATGTATTTGGTAGAGAATTTGAAATGGCAATCATCACTTGCTATGTATTGTTGTTTATAGACACAGAGTGTTCTACACTACTGGGTTTTAAAGGACATGTTGAGCTGGGAGTGGTGGTGTAATCCTACCACTCAGGAAGCAAAGGCAGGAGGATCTTGAATTAGATGCCAGCCTGGACTACATAGTGAGACCCTGTCTCAAAAAGCCAAGACCTAGGGCTGTAGCTCAGTAGACAGACAGACAGACAGACAGATAGACAGACAGACAGACAGACAGACAGACAGACAGACAGACAGACAGACAGACAGACAGACAGACAGACAGATAGATAGATAGATAGATAGATAGATAGATAGATAGATCAATCTTAGTAAGATCTGCAGAGACAGAGCTATTTGGACATGTAGCTGCAAAGGTCTTAGACCCATGGAAGTGAGAAGAGAAGAGTGAAAGGGAAAATAAAACCCTGATTACCCCTGGGTAATGCACACAAAGGAACAATGATGGGTAGCCATGAGACCAAATGTTACCTTACAGTAGGACCAGCAATGGATTTGGCAGGGCTGGCTATGAGCACACTGCAGAACTTGGGTTATCAATGCAAAAGGAGGGTAGCTGGCCTGCAAGCCCAAGGAGCAGTGCTGACCTGCTAGGTCACCAGTGTTGATGCAGCTTCAATGAGCTAGTGTTGTGGGGGCTCACCACTCCCCTCCCCATTCCACCAAGGGAACTATCTGTAAAGAACCAGGCTCGGAAACACCTCTGCCTCTTGATGCCTTGTACGAGTGGATTTGGGAAACTAGCAATGGAAAGCCACCAGCAGCTTCCTCGATCTCACACACACACACACACACACACACACACACACACACACACACATACGCACACACACACAGAGTGTCCTCCCTCTCCACTCTGGTGAGAGTGGACTGCTGGTTGGAGTTTCCAGTGGGAGGGGGGGGGCACGGGGTGAGTACCTTCAGTGTTTCCTTCTCCTTTTCTATCCGCTGCTGTTCCAGATGCAACTTCACAAGTGCGGACTCCTTAGCAGAGATCTCTTCTTTAAGCTGGTCTACCTGATGGGTCATAATCTTTAACTTTCTCTTCATTTCTGTTATTTCATCCTAAAAGGTAAAAAGAGGAAGGTTTAATGGTGAATTAAACAGTCACTATCATCCTATAGAAGATCAGTATATAGTTAGGAACTTTGAAGCGGGGCTCTCTCGGACAATGGCTTCTTGACCAATTGCAGCTATAACTAAGTTATTCTTTTATCTCTGGCATTTATCCATAGAGCAATAACTCAAAATAGTTACATGTACTCAAATGTACTCTCCCTCTCCCCCACCCTCTCTTCTCCCTTATTTTCCTATAGGAACTAGAAACTCAATAAGCACTGTCATTGAAAGCTTCCAAATCGAAAAAGTTCTACAATTGAATAAGAGTATGATACTGTCCTCTAAACCTTGATAGTAGTTTAATACACACACACACACACAGAGAGAGAGAGAGAGAGAGAGAGAGAGAGAGAACGGAAATGCTACACATTAATTAAAAGTAGGACCAGAATCTTCCAAGTCCTATTAAGTTATGCCCTACTTAGTTGTATTATTTCCATTCCAAATAGCCTGATGGTTTCACATAAACTGATCTTTTCCAGGTGAATTCCACAAGATTTCTTTCTTGATTTTAAATCCTGCTATTTGGACAACTGCTTTAAGCACAGAGTGGAGAAGAATCAACATGTAAAGTCATAAAAGACATTCTTTACCTGTGCCTCAACCAAATTTTTGCTGTAGAGATTCCTGTCCGACCTCACGGCTTCGTACAGGTTCTGTTGCTGCTTCAATTTAGTCTCTGATTCAGCTATTCTTTTTCTGAAGTCAAAAATCTGCATTTCACGGACTTTTATGTCTTCCATGCTCATAAGGACCTGGGAGGAGAGAGAAGTGTTTGAATATGGTTTTTAAAGCCCATCTGTGCTTATAGGTTTGGGCAAATAGAATTTTTTATAGGGGTGGCTGGTAGAGGGGTGCCAGCAATCAGCAAATCTGACTATAATCACTGCAGTGCCACACAGAAATTCAACCTAGCTGATTAGGTGAAATACATCTTTTATCTGTGCTGTAGTTCTGCCAATTAGAAAGGCTTCACATGTTATGATTACAAGAAAAGGAAAAAGAAAAGAAAAAGAATAAATACTTTCTGGAAAACTTTCCTGGTCACTCTACCCATAAAGAAAAGAAAGGAAGAGAAAAAAGAAAGCCATGGGCTTAAACAGTTTTTAACACAAAGCACGACAAAAGATAAGAGATAACTTAATTGTTTGGCCACACAGACCTATTTATCAAATTAACTGACCCTTGATGGCAATCATAACTGTCTTGCCAATGTCAAACCCATCCTAATAAGGAAGCTCACACAACTTCAATTAAACACTAATAATAATTTAGCCCTGCGGTGGTTCACACCTGAAGTCCCAGCTACTCAGGAGATGGAGGCTGTATAATCATGAGTTTGAGGTCAACCAGGGCAAAAGAAGTAAAGAGATATGTCTCCAAAACAAAAACAAGAAGGCTGGGACAGGTCACGATTGTTTGAGCCCTTGACCAATATGTGCAAGGATCTGAGTTAAACAATACTGAAGAAAAACAAATTAAGCCATCAATTGAACACACGCACACTTGGAGAAACTATAGGAAGCCAGCGAGCCACCTCCTTTACACAAGGTTGAAAAACCAGGGTGAGAAACTCCAGCATGAACAGATTCCTCTCTATGAGCCATTCATTTATAAAGGAGAGATTATGCTATTATGATTCTCCACTCAATGTCTACAAAAGCTGTTGTTGTAGTTGTTGTTGTTAAGGGAAAATGTCTTTTAAAAATTCCTTAAAAGGGGCTGGGAAGGTGGCTCAGTGGTAGAGCGCTTGTCTTGCATGCATGAGGCCCTGGGTTCGATTCCTCAGCACCACATAAGCAGAAAAAAAAGCCAGAAGTGGCGCTGTGGCTCAAGTGGTAGAGTGCTAGCCTTGAGCTGAGGTGCTGAGGGACAGTGCC